TCTTTCACTCTGAGTCACCTGTGCTCAACCTGTTGGTCCCTAGTGAGGCAGGATATGGGGATACTGTGAGAGGACTCGGCTTCTAGATCTGTGCCCTTTGGATTCCTCCTTTCCCGAATATGCCTGATGATGGCAAATTGTTAATAACCACTAACTCTCAGGGGCCTGGAAGTTGACCAGATAGCCTACCCCCCCCCCCCACTGTCATTTAACATTTCTTTCCAATATCCCTGCTGAGTGCCCTGCAACTTATTTTTTATTTTATTTTATTTATTTTTTCACAGGCAGAGTGGACAGTGAGAGAGAGAGACAGAGAGAAAGGTCTTCCTTTTGCCGTTGGTTCACCCTCCAATGGCCGCCGCGGCCGGCACACTGCGCTGATCCGATGGCAGGAGCCAGGTGCTTCTCCTGGTCTCCCATGGGGTGCAGGGCCCAAGCACTTGGGCCATCCTCCACTGCACTCCCGGGCCACAGCACAGAGCTGGCCTGGAAGAGGGGCAACCGGGACACCCGGTGTGCCGGCGCTGCAAGGCCCAAGGCGGAGGATTAGCCTAGTGAGCCAGGGCGCCAGCCTTCGGTTTAGAATTTAAGCTGTCAGAGTCAAACGGTTTAACCTAAACAACTTCCCGTTGCAGTTTTCCCAATCAAGACTCATAATGGCAATAAAAACGCGAAAACTTCAAGACAGGTGAACGCTCTCATATAAGTCAGGGACAGCAGCACAGAAAAGAACTCGTCATCAGCGTATGAGCCCATTGCTTAGGCGTCCATAACTGCAAAGAGAAAAACCCATCAGGTTGGAAAGGTTGATGGATTAAGGGTCTTGCTCCCTTAGGTAAGGCCAGCAGTGGTACTGAATTGGAACTTCCTCCCGGGGAGGAAAAGAGCTGCCCTGGGGGCGCGCTCCCTAGAGATATCTGGCTATGCCTGCCTTGGTGCGGCAGGCCACGAGGACTGGAATAAAGTGCAGAGAAAGGCTGTGGTCCCCCATTTACAGGGAAGACTGCGCACACCGGGGCCTGGCAGGACTAGCCGTGGGGTTGGGTAGGTGCGCCATTTCACCAAGAGTGCTGGGAACCTCCTATAATTCAACCAAAGCCAGATCAATTAGGACTACTGCAGACACTCAGTCAATTACAACAGATAGTAAACTTTAGCTCTTTTCCAGATTTAGTCCTCAGGCAATCAAAGCTTAGCAACAGGAATAGTTCACAAAGACTTTAAGACGCACCAGAGCTACCATAAGCTGCAAAGATGGAAAACCTTCTACCAGGTTGGAAAGGGTTAACAGGTAACAGCTTTTCCCTTAGGTGGAGAGACCAGTGGAATTTCCCTCTCCCTTTCTCCTGGCCAGTGGTATAGGAATGGAGATGAGGAGAGCAAAAGAGTGGGGGAAGGAGCCCCCGGGAGGAGGAGGAAGGCAGAAAGCAATGGAGGACTAGACGTGCCCTCACCTTCCCCTGTGAATCTCAGCTGGAGGAGAGCATAGGGAAAGGCCCTCCTGTCTGGGGGCTGAGTGGGGTTCGAAACCTCCTATCGCTCAAGGTTACCCACTACCTAGTTGTCTGAGTTTACCTGGAGGGCCAATATTAGCCTCGACCGAAGCTAAGCCCTGCTCGCGTAGCAGTAGGCAGCGTGACCAGGCGTCCCTCCGAGAGCGAGACCTGGTCCTCGGGTCGCAGTCCGGCTGCCGGGAAGCTGAAGAGAGCTCAGGGGGTCTCCAGGCTCTCAGCCAACTGCCCTTCCTAATTTCCCTCCTGTTCCTTACAATCCCTCTGGAGTTTCGGCCATAGCTAAGCCGTGGCCGGGGGGGACTCCGCGTTCTCGGAGAGCTGTGGGGTGCCGGACACTCAATGGTCACTTCCACAGATCTGATCCCGCTTGAGGGAAGGAATACTGACCTCCGATGTCCTCAAAATCCCTTCGTGGTTGCCAAAAATGTTACCGGAGAAATTGCAGGGTTCTTGTCTTCGCGCAAGAAAGAATTCAGGCGTGAGACAGAGAGTAGTGGGAGGTAAAAGTAGCAAAGTTTATTAGGGAAGGGACATCCGTAAGAACGGATGGGCACCTCTCCAGACAGGACCTGAGAGAGAGTGCCCAGTCGTTCGGACCCGGGGGGGGGGGGGGAGGGGAGAAGGAGTGAGGTTACATAGTTGAGTGCAGAGATTACGCCTGGCCAGACCAGGCAGGCGACTCAGCAGAGAGGCAGAGGGCTGAGCACGCAGTCGGGTTGAGGCCAGGGGTTTTTAAGGAGATGGGTCTTGCTTCCCCACCTCTGTTCCCCTTGGAACAAAGGGCTTTTGGGATGTAAATAGAAAAACTTCTATCTGAGTTTTCTCTAGAAGGTCTGAAACAAAGGACTTTATGGATGCAAATGTTATCAGCCAGGAGGAAGGGTGGGCAGGACCCCCTAGAGGATTGGGATCTGGAGCAGGGTATCTGAAATGCAGATACTGGGCTGCACCTGGGAGATATCAGGTGGAAGGGGTCAGGCAGGGCAGGATGTGAATACCGGGCTGCCCCTGAAACACCATCAGGATGACTTTGAGGTGCAGCATATGCTGGTCATAGAGGTCTTCTCTTTAGGCCTTTATGTCGCACACACATAAGCTCATAACTGACTTCCTACCTAACAGCCACATTGCCACCATTCCAGAAGGATCTGTTGTACAACACTTCCGGTCCAAGGGTCACCCCATTGGTGTCTCCTGGAAGCACACTGCAGTGCGGTCGCAGGCTCCCCTAGACCTGCAGAGTTGGAACGTTTAGCTCATCAGGCAACTCAGCTGAAATGCAGGGCACTGGCCCCCTGTTCTCAGCATCGGGAGCCCCCTGGGAGCTTTTAGGAGTGCCAGATGGCTTGGCTGAGCCGCCATCTGTGGGACCATGCCAAACGTCTGTAAGTCAGAGAACCCCCGGTTGGAAGGGCATGGCAACACAGGGAGGTTTGCTCAGCCTTGACCGGCACCATCCTGGAGGGCAGAGCGTGGCACACGGTGTGTCCTGCAGTGTACCAGGGCCCCGTCAGGTGCCAAGACAGGGGACAGGGCTGCAGGGTCGGGGAGGGGAGAGCTGCCCCTCATCCTTCATGCAATACACATTGATGGGCAACCTTGTGCTAAACTATTCTTTAAAAAACAAAGATTTATTTTGTTTGTTTGAAGGAGTCACAGAGAGAGGTAGACAGAGAGATCTTCCATTCGCTGGTTCACTCCTCAGATGGCAGCTTTACCTACCATGTCATGGTGTCAGCCCCCAAAACCCAACTTTCCAGACTTAACTTTATTACATGTGCCCTAATCTCACAATGAGACAAAGCCATAGCTCCCTGACTGACCTATGTATGTACTTATTTATCCATTCATCTGACCATCCACCCATCCACCCATCTGTCCATTGGTCCATCCGTCTGTCTGTCCTGGGCCACCTGTCTGTGCGTCCATCTGTCTGTCCAGTGTCCTGTGACTACATCCCTGTGTTAGCTGCAGCGTCATTCACAATAACCAAGCTTTTAAATCAACCTGAACGCCCATCGGCAGATGAACGGAGAGAGAAAAAACATGGTGTTTCTACACAGTGAGATCCCGTTCACCCACGAAAAGAAGGAAGTCCTGGCCCTCGAGACATCCAGGACGAACAAACCTGGAGGACAGTGTGGCCAGACACAGAAGCACAAACACCCAGGGCCTCACTCAGATGGGGGAATCTCAAAAATGCTGACATCATAGTGGTCAGTTGTAGAACAGTGGTTGGGAGAGATGGGGGAGGGGTGGAAGAGGGAGGTGAGGGGGAGGATGCCAGCAGCTACAAAGGGACACTAAGAGAAGAGGGGTGTGGCCTGGTAGGGTGACCTGGTTAACAAGAAGGTGTTGGATATTACAGCTAGAAGAAGGTTTGAGTGCTTCCACCAGGGAGTGATAATAAATCTATGAGGTGATACGCTAACCACTCTCATTCGATCCACATACGGTGCATACATATATTGAAACACCAAAAAGTGCCCCATAAATATGTACTCAAAGAGAGTCTGTTTATTACTTTCTTGCAAGATGTGTTGATTTAAAAGGCAGAGTGGCCAGAGGGAGGAAGAGAGAGAGAGTGATCATCCATCCTCTGGTGCATCCCCCTACATGGCCGCAACAGCTGGGCCTGGGGCCAGGCTGAAGCCAGGAGCCAGGAATTCCATCTGGGGCTCCCATGTGGGCCACAGGGGCCCGAGCACTTGGGCCATCCTCTGCTGCCTTCCTAGGTGCATTAGCAGGGGGCTGGATTGGAAGCAGAACAGCTGGGAGAGTCCATGTTGTGAATCCAGTGCTTTGGCTCTCTACCAGGTGCTGGGATCCACAGCCTTGGCCCTTGACGTTGGAACACCTTCTGTCTGGTTCACTTTGACTATTCCAACAGGGCTCAGCTGAAGCATCATCCCCGTGGAAACCTGGGATCTCTGCAGACGGACAGATGGAATTGTTTCAGGAGGCGGGGTACAGAAGGCACACCTCCCAGGGGGGAGCCATGCTGTCTCTTCACCCAGTGTTCACCCAGCGATTCCCAAAGAATGACTTCACTTCTGGGCTGGGTTTCAAGGACAATGATCAGGCAATACCCAGGATGGGTTGGCCTAGATTTCTGGACGCGACAGCCAAGCCAAGCTCACCGGCAGATTCAGCGTGCTCAAGGCGAGCTGAAATTCTCAAGAAGAGAAGCCAGTGGGGGTCAGAGTGTGGAAGTGTGTGTTCCCACATCTGTGTGTGCTGGCCCCAGCAGATGATGATTAAAAGTCCTCGAGCCCCTGCCCCCCGTGGGGGGAGACCCAGATTGAATTCCTAGCTTCCAGGGCCGGCACTGTGGCCTACTAGTGCAGCGATATTAGGCGCACGAGGCAATCCAAAGATGGCGCCCAAAGGAAGTAAGGTGGGTGGAACCCGAGGTTGTTTACCACCAAAGCTAATTGGCCGTGCAGCATCAGGAGAGATGACGACGACTGATGACAAGTCTACAGACATATGGCTGGTTCCGTAAAAAATCGCCCCATAAAATGACCTTTTAAGCAATTGGTTGGTCCTTATGCTCTGACCCAATAATCGTGCAGTTTTGTGCTTTAAAAGGTTTTACTACGCGTGCAATAAACGAGTTCCTGCTTGACTCGACTTCCCGCTGCGTCTGATTGTCTCCGGGATCGGGAGGCTGGGGAACGGGTGAGTGGCGCACTTGCCTTTCCTGGGACCCAGTCCATCCGCGTTTGGGTGGACTCAGACCCTGCACACTAGGTTAAGCCTCTGCCTGCAGTGCTGACATCCCATACAGGTACCAGTTCAAGTCCCGTCTGCTCCACTTCCAATCCAGCTCCCTGCTAATGGCCTGGGAAAGCAGTGGAAGATGGCCCAAGTGTCTGGGCACCTGCACCCATGTGGGAGACCCAGAAGAAGCTCCTGGCTCCTGGCTTCAGCTCAGCCCAGCTTCAGCCATTCTGGTTACTTGGGGAGGGAACTATTGGATGGAAGAACTTTCTCTCTTCCTGGCTCCCAGCTTCAGCCTGGTCCAGCCCAGCTGTTGCAAGAAGGTGTCAGAGTCGACCACCCGAAAAACGTCACCAAGAGACACGTCTCTTATGCAAACAGCACGGGGAAGTTTTATTGATTATCCAGCATGCTGGGGCTGTCTGATCATCATGAACAGAGCAGCCCCGAATAACCAAAGGTTAGGGTTTATAAAGGCAAAAACCGCAAAACCGGGAGGGGGGGGAGAATACACAGTTGCTAAGCGGTTGCTAATATCTTACAATCAGCAATTATGATCTTAAGACATAGACAAATCACATCTTCATTATTAGCCCAGGTAACCCAGGTGCAACCTTTCTACTTTTCAGCTTGAGCAATCATGCTAGGGGGTTTTTGTGCGTTGCCAAGGGTGATGTAGTGCACTGCTATTGTCCGACTAGTTGAGATCATAGTTTCAGACCAGAGTCTCACGGTGGGGGGGGGTGGGGGGTTGCTTTCCCAGAATGCAGTCTCAAGTGCTCCAAAATGGAGTCCCTACTGTCAAGGTGCTACTTTACTCTGTCTTATTTTCACAGCTGCACCAGGAAGGTTTAAACCTGTAAGCTTAAGCTTAACTTTTTACATCCGCACATATACAATTTTAACTCTTCAAAGGTAGGGAGTAAACCAGCAGATTGGAGCTCTCACTCCCTTTCTTTCTGCCTCTCAAATAAAGAACACATTAAAAATTAAAAAAAAAAAAGGCAAGACAAACATACATTGTCCGCGCTAAAGTGAATTTAGGACATTTTGGCTACCAATGAAACTATAACTCCAAGCCACATTTACTGAGTATCTGTACGCCAGGACTCGACCGGCAGTCTTCATGGGGCCTGCTCTTAGGAAGTTAACTTAAGGAGGATGGACAAGCAAACAAGCCTCACAGACCAGCAATGAGAGCCGGCAGCCCGCGCAGCCCAAGCCCCTGCTGTTCTCAGCGTGTGTTCTCTGTGTGTGGAATTCTTGGGGAGGCTTCCAGAATAAGTCTCCCTGATGGGTGTGGGGAGAGGGGAGACGGGGGAGGGGGTGGACTCAGGCCTTTCTGGTCGGACAGCTTCATGGAGGGCATGGGAACCCCCAAGGTCACGGTTCTGGGCTATGTTGTCTAACCAGAGGCCCAGAGGAGGCTAGGCCCAGTGGACATGGTCCCCAAGGGACAGGAAGCTCAGTGAAAAATCTCCTGGTTTCTCCCTGAATGCCTCCACAATTGTCTCCGAGAATTGTCCAGTCATATTATTGTATGTCATTTCATCCCCTAAAATAACGCGACACAGGTGTTGTCACGTATTTACTAACAGGAAACAGGCTGGCCTGGGGTGGGTGGCAGATTTGAATGTCCACCAGCTTCGCCCGCTATCGTGGTCTGGAAGTCTGTTTTTGGAGAGTGGCCATCAGCCAAGACAGCCACTCCCCGGGAGAGCCTCAAGCAGGACAAGGCTTCTGTTCGTGGGGCCAGGGGGCATCTGTCGGGTCAGACGGAGGAGGCAGCTGAAGGAAACGCATGAAATAACAGAAACAAGGGCTTTTTTATTATTATACTTAAAGATTCCAGAGGGGGAAGGTAACATGACTTGTATGGCCAGTGGGAAGGTTAGCAGGGAGGGACTGCAGAGAGAGAGAGAGAGAGAGAGAGAGAGAGGACCAAAGCTGTCATTGGGCCAGGGCATTCTCCAAGCAGGTTTCCCGTGGGGCGATCTAATTGGAGGGTTTAGCTCCAGCAGGCATGGTTCCTGGAGGCCACGCTGTGAAGGACAGATGGGCACCGCGGCCCCTGTGCACAGCCCGTGTGGAGTGGGGTCAGTGGAGTCAGTCATGTGGGTTGCATCCAGCTGTCCTACCAGGTGAAGGGCTGGTAACCAGCCCCTGCTCCTGGGGTGAGCAGCCTGGACGCCACGGCAGCACAAACCCTGGGAACTCACTATGCTCTGAGGGCAGAGGGCGAAATCCTTTTGCAAGCATTTGGGTGTGTGAACCAGTGAATGAGAGTGTTTCTCTCTCTCTCTCTCTCTCTCTCTCTGCACCTCACGTTAGAAAAACAAAAACAGTGCCCGCACCCCGGCTCACTAGGCTAATCCTCCGCCTTGGGGCACCGGCACACTGGATTCTAGTTCTGGTCGGGGTGCCGGATTCTGTCCCGGGTGCCCCTCTTCCAGGCCAGCTCTCTGCTGTGGCCAGGGAGTGCAGTGGAGGAAGGCCCAAGTGCTTGGACCCTGCACCCCATGGGAGACCAGGAGAAGCCCTGGCTCGTGCCTTGGGATCAGCGCCATTGGAGGGTGAACCAACGGCAAAGGAAACATTTCTCTCTGTCTCTCTCTCACTGTCCACTCTGCCTGTCAAAAAAAAAAAAAAAAAAAAAAAAAAAAAGAGCAGGAGGGAGGGCTAGGAGCTGGTATAAAAGTTCTGGAAGGTTCTAAGGGGTTACCTTGCACCTGAAGCTCCCAGGTGAGAGGTGTTAGGGATTCCTGGGTCTGCCTTTGAGGGGGTGGGGATTCAGATCTGATCTGGTCTGGGGAAGGGGATGCCTGGATTGAGTGGCAGGGAGTGTTAGTGAAGTGGGCACCTGGGTTGAAACTATCTTGGTGCAGAGATGTGTCAGCTGTCAGTTGAAGGACTAGGAACCTGGGACACTCAGGTGACTGGGAAAGGCCAGGCGTGTGTCGGTGGACAAAGAATCGTGACAAAGATCCCATCTGCTGGTTCACTCCCCCACATGGCCGCAATGGCCAGAGCTGGGCCAATCTGAGCCAGGAGCCTGGAGCTTCTTCCAGGTCTCCCAAGGGGGTGCAGGGGCTCAAGTGCTTGGGCCATCTTCCACCGCCTTCCCAGGGCACTAGCAGAGAGCTGGACCTTGCTGGAGCAGACCAAGGAACACCAGGTCTGGAGGATGCACTGCAGGCTGTGGACAGTGCTGTGCACCTTGAGCCTGGGTCTGGCTAGGTGGGAGCTGAAGGGTCAGGCCACCCGGAGGCCAGAGGGAAAGGGGGAAACCTCCCCCTCTGCTCTCTTCTTCCCCCCTGCAGCCTCACGATGTGGACCTTCATGCTCCTGGGCCTTCTCTGTGCCTCGGCCTCTGCCAGTGCCAGTAAGTGAGCCGCTGGGACTCTGGGGGCGGGTGGCGGGAAGGGGCCCCTGCTGGGCTGGTGGCCAAGGCTTGCAGGGCCGCCCCTGAGCGGTGGGAACTGGGAGGTCCTTGCCTCCAAGCCCCCCTTTCTTTCCACTGCAGTCCAGGCCAGGGCCTCCTCCTACAGTGGCGAGTACGGAAGTCCAGGAGGAGAGCCATTCTCCCACTCCGGCCTCCAGCTGGAAGGGCCCATCACAGCCATCCGTGTCCGGGTTGACAGCCGCTATATCGCGGGGTAAGGCTCTTCCGCGTTCCTCAAGCTCTTACTAACTCAGGAAGTGCTCTTTCACTCTGGGCCACCTGTGCCTCAACCTGTTGGTCCCTAGTGTGGCAGGATATGGGGATAGCTGTGAGAGGACTCGGCTTCCAGAACCGTACCCTTTGGACTCCTCCCTCCCCAAATATACCTGGTGGTGGCAAATCATTAATAACCACTAACTCTCAGGGGCCTGGAAGTCGACCAGCCCTGCCCACCCGCCTTCTGTGGTTTAAAGTTTCTTTCCAATATCCCTGCTGGGTGCCCTGCAACTTTGCTCAACGCCTCTCTTGAGCAGTCCCCACTCCATTGCCAGTTGGAAAATTCTATCACGTGCAGAGCCAAAGTGTGTCCGCTAATGCTGGATCTGCCTCCTGGGACAGCAGGGACAAGCCTCTTCCCTCTCCCACAAGGGAGCCACTCAGCTGTTAGAAAATCCCTTTGCTTCCACAAGTGCGGGAATAGGGCAGGAGCATCGTAGGAGGCTGGACTCCAAATTCAAGGCCTGCCATGTGCTGTGTGTGGGCGACTCTGGGCAAGCTGCCTTCCTTCTCTGCACCTGCTGTCAGCCAGGCCAGGAGCTGAAGTTCTTTGTGTGGTCCTCCAGGGCTCACCCGGCCTACACTTTTGGGGCAACTAGCAGGGACTGCTCATCCTAGCGTCCAGTTTGGAGGACTCCACGTGCAGGTCAAAAGGTCCTGAACTCTGATGACCTAATCAGTGTCCCGTTCCTGCCCTCCCACCCGTCCCAGTCTCCAGGTGCGCTATGGCCAGGTGTGGAGCGACTACGTGGGTGGCAACCTGGGAGACCTGCAGGAGATCTTTCTGCACCCAGGGGAGTCAGTGATCGAGGTTTCTGTGTCATACGGTAACTATCTGAAGACCCTGGACTTTTTCACGAACTACGGTCGCATCTTTTACTTTGGGAAAGACACAGGCGCGAGCTTCTATGCTGTCCCCTTGGACATCGACGCCGTGCTCCGATTCATCAGTGGTCGAGCTGGCTTATTCGTAAACGCCATTGGCCTGCACTGGGACACCATCCCAGAAACTACCCCAGCAACTGCTGAGCCCGCCTCCTCCGTGGCAGGGCCCCGTGGTGGGGTGTGACAACTCCCTGATCACCATTCCCATACAAATGGCTCAATAAAAGGACATGGCTAAAGCTGGTGTGCATGTGGGTGTGTGCAGGCGGGACCCACTCTTGGAGGGCGGTGTGACTCTCAGCTCTGGCTACCTGCTGCTAAGAGTGGGAGCACGAGGGAGACAGGTGTTGAGAATCCTGGGCTCTTCCGTACGTCACAAGGAGAGGAGACGCTAGTTTGTACCAACTCTTTTCGGGGTTAGCTCATGAGAATGTCTGTCCAAACAGGAGTTCTGAAGGGAAGGCTCAGCGGGGGCACACCGCCGAGCCCCAGGTGAGCCTCTCTGGCGCCCTCCCCCCTGAGAAGGGGCTTCTCTGACCAAAGGCTGTCCCCTCTCCCTGGAGCTCAGCTGCAGGTGGGTGGTCTGACCTCTGTCCTCCCATCTGTCCCAGATGCGATCTCCCTGCTGAAGTTTCGCCCCAGTTTGTGCTTAAGGACTCCACCCCATTCCCCAGGCCAGTTCTTCCTCGTCTTTACCCCTAACCTGGTGCTCTTGCTTAGCCCTCTGGGAACTGGCGCTCAGGCAGATGAGAAGCCCGTGGCTGAGACACACCCATGTCCCGTATTAGAGCGAGTGGGTTTCATTCCTGACTCCACCTTCCTGCTGACGTGGCTCCTGGGAGGCAGCAGGGACGGTTCAGGATGGGTCAAGTGCCACCCACACGGAGCGCCGGTTGAGTTCTCCTCCAGCTTCTGCCCCCACTCCCACCTCTCTAACAAACAGAAAATAAAAACAGGGACGGCGCCGTGGCTCACTAGGCTAATCCTCCGCCTTGCGGCGCTGGCACACCGAGTTCTAGTCCCGGTCGGAGCGCCGGATTCTGTCCCGGTTGCCCCTCTTCCAGGCCAGCTCTCTGCTGTGGCCAGGGAGTGCAGTGGAGGATGGCCCAACACCTTGGGCCCTGCACCCCATGGGAGACCAGGAGAAACAGCATGCTCCTGATTTGGATCAGTGTGGTGCTCCGACCACAGTGCACTGGCATCGGCTGCCTTTGGAGGGTGAACCAACGGCAAAGGAAGACCTTTTTGTCTGTCTCTCTCTCTCACTGTCCACTCTGACTGTAAAAAACAAAAACAAAAACAAAAACAAAAAACCAAAACAACAACAACAACAAAAACAAAACACCACCAACAACAACGGAGAGTCTTTCCTTAGGGACCCACCATTTCAACAGTGTGAACTTGGCCAACACCACAGCCAAAGTGGAAATTCTGGGGCAGGCACTTAGTATGGTGGTTAAGTTGCCACTAGGGGCTGAGTCCCATATCTGAGTGCCTGGGTTTAAGGACTGGCCCTACTTTTGTTTTTAAGACTTTTTAAAAAATGTATTTATTTGAGAGTTACAGAGAGGCAGAGGCAGAGAGAGAGAGACAGAGAGAGGTGTTCCAAATGCTGGTTCACTCCCAGATGGCTACAACGGCCAGACCTGGGCCGATCTGAAGCCAGGAGCCAGGAGCTTCTTCTGGGTCTCCCACATGGATACAGGGACACAAGGACTTGGAGCATCTTCTACTGCTTTCCCAGGCCATAGCAGAGAGCTGGATCACAAGTGGAGCAGCTGGGACTCGAACCGGCGCCCATACAGAATGCCAGCACTGCAGGCGGCAGCTTTACCCACTACTCCACAGCCTGGCTCCACCTTTGATTCCAGCTTCCTATTAATGCCAACCATGTGGGAGGCCTGCATTGAGTTCTGGGCTCCTGACTTCAGTCTGGCCCAGCCTGCCTGTCGTGGACATTTAGGGAGTGAACCAATGGATGGGACATCTCTGCCTGCCTTTCATAGAGTATGAAAATAAAGTTTTTACAAAAGTAAATTCCAAAGTAGAGACATTTTCATCTTTGATTGCCCCAAGCACAAGGGGTTAGTTAGAATTCAGGGGAAGCATTAGGATGGCTGGATAGAGTCAGTGAGGACACGAAGTGGCTTTGGGAAGAAATTCAAGGACTCTAAAATACTGGCAGTTTTGGTTTCGGTGGTAGTGGTGGGCAGTAACATATTGCTTCCCATAGATTTCTTTGTGTCATAGGGAATGCAAAGTCATATTTCTTCCCAATTAGACAAAGAGAAGTTACAGACATGTAATTTTGTAAAAAATAAAAATAAAAAAAACCCAAACACTATAAAAAGAAGCCCACCACTAGCATGTTTTTAAAACAATTCCTTGGGTGCCAGATGTTGCTGTGGATCCATTCTGAGAGGAGGAGCATGGTGGGGGCAAGAGGCGTGGAGTCACCACACAGACCCCAGGTGTGGGTGAAAGCAGGCCAGATGCGAGCAGCTGGAAGACTCATTTATTTCAGTTGGTATAGCAGCTTATAGAGCCAAGGCAGCCAATCTGGTCAAGGGGTGGTCTATGCCCTAACCAATCACAGCCTGTTGCCAGGCAGTTTCCAAAGCCATCCAATCACAGCGTGTTGCCAGGCAGTTTCCGTTGCCTGTGGCCATCTTGGCATGGCCTTCTCATTCCACCACAAATTCCATCACAGAATATTATGCCATTGGAATTCTTTTTGAGCTATAAATATCATAGATCTTACCCTTTTCAAGTGTGCAAGTGATTTTTAGTATATTTATAAGGTTTGTACATCCAGCATCGCCAGTTCCAGAATACCTAAGTAAAAAACAAAACAAAAAACAAAAAACCCGAGGCCATGAGTTGTCTCCCCAGCCTCCCTTGAGCCCAGCAGAGTCATGTTCTCATGTGTGAACCTGAAGAAGAATTAAATCAGGCTGATAACAAAGCCATTGCCTTACATACTCATTTGTGGTGAGAACATTTACGATCTACTTTTAGCAATTCTGATCAACGTCACCATTCCATGTGATCTATTGATCACTAAAGGCTGCTTCTTCCTTTCACCTGTATGACTTTGTATGCTCTGATCAACATCTTGCCTCTCTCCATCCATTGTTCCACCAAACCTCTCATGACTACCGCTTTTTTTTTTTTTAAGATTATTTATTTGAAAGGCAGAATGACAGAGAGAGGCAGAGACAGGGAGAGATCTCCCATCCACTGATTTACATCCCATACAGCTGCAATTGCTGGGGCTGGTCCAGGCTGTAATCGGGAGCCTAGAATCTCATCTAGGTCTCCCACATGGGTAGCAGGGACCCAAGCAGTTAGGCCACCCTCTACTGCTTCCCCAGGTGCATCAGCAGGAAGCTGGATCAGAACTGGAGCAGCTGGGACTCAGATCAGCCTCTGATACGGGAAGCCGCTTAGCCCACTGTGTCATTACTCTGGCCCCTGCTGACGGCCACCCTGCTCTCAAATTCTGAGTTGGTATTTCTTAGATTCTACACGTAAGTGGGATGTGGTATGTATTTGTCTCTCTATGCCTGATTTCCCTTAGCATAATGCCCTTCAGGTTCACCCCTGGGGTTACAAAGGACAGGGTTTGGGAATACAGCTGACTCAGAGGTCATCAGCACATAAATAGTGAAGTTCAAGTGCTACAGTGAAGTTCATGTGCTGGGTGTGGAAGAAGCCATTCAGGAAAGCAACAGGTATAGAAAAGGAGAAAGGCAGGAGGAAGCGAACTGGGAAACACCAGTGGTGGTTGGTACAAAGAGGAGGCAGTTACAGAACTATAGAAGGGAGGTTAATGTTGTGGCACAGCAGGTTAAGGCACCATGCTGCATCCCATACTGCAGTGCCCGTTGGAGTCCTGGCTACACTCCTTCTGGTCCAGCTCCCTGCCTCTGATAATGGCTCAAGTGATTGAGTTCCTGCTACCCATCTTGGATGGAGCTCCTGGCTCCTGGCTTTATGCTGGCCCAGCCCCAGCTGTTGTAGGCATCTGGGGAGTGAACCAATGGACGGAAGATCTCTCTCCTTCTCTCTGTCTGCATTTCAAATCAATAAATAAAGAAAAAAAGAACTAGAGAATGGAGTGTTATGGGAGGCAATGAGAAGGCAAGAGAGAAATTCCAAGCAGTGGCTGAGGCCACGATAATGGAGAAAAGCAAAGATCTCCGTTTCTTCCATGGTGGCCGTGAGGAGGTCATTCATTATCTTGACAAGCACAGCTTCAGTGGCCTGCAGGAATCGGCTGAAGCAGGCTGCAATTTGCTAAGGAATGAATGGGAGGTGAGGATTCCCAGAGGCGAGGGCTATTTCAAGAAGTGTATCTCCAGAAAGACAAAAATAAGCTGGTAGTCATAGCTGGGGACTGTAATGTTGCGGTGGATTTATTCTGAGAGGAGGAGCGTGGTAGGGGAAGAGGCATGGAGTCACCACACAGACCCCAGGTGTCAGGTGAAAGCAAGCCAGAGGTGAGCAGCCCACAGACTCATTTACTTCAGTTGGTAGAGCAGCTTAAATAGCCAAGGCATTCAATCTGGTCAAAGGGCGGTCTATGTCCTAACCAATCACAGCCTGTTGCCAGGCAGTTTCCAAAGCCATCCAATCACAGCTTGTTGCCAGGCAGGCTCCGTTGCCATGTGGTTCCCGAAGCCATCCAATCACAGCCTGTTGCTAGGCAGTTTCCGTTGTTAGCGGCCATCTTGGCATGACCTTCTCTTTCCACCGCATTTCTTCCATTTCATTTATTTTTGAGCAACAGGAGGCATGATTCTTGGCCAGACCCCGTTTCCATGTGGTCTCTGCACATGGCTGTTCCTGTCTTAGGTTGTCTCCCAGGGGATCTTACCCATCATTGACTAACCAGTGCTCCAAAAGGGAGGCCACAGGAGTGCTTGCTCAGATAGGGATTGAATGAGGAACAATGGTAATCAGGAATGGCGTGACCGCACACAGGTATGGAGACCCACGAGCCGGCCATGGGCGCACATGCTAAGGCTTCGCTTGCTGACCATTGGCATTAGTTACTGTCGTGTGGATGCTTATGGTTTCCGTGGAGCTGTGATATCGGGACCGTTTCATAAGTCCAGGCTAGAGTCAAAACAACTGTGGCCTTGGGGCTTCCCATACTTCTTTTCCCACTGACCAAGGCTGAGAAAACACCAGGTGGAAACTTGCTGTTAGCACCCGAGTTGCCTGCTAAGTGACC